TAACAGATTCTTTTTTACACCTTATCACCTTATCTCTCTCTCTCTCTCTCTCTCTCTGTGTTTCTCTGTGCATGTCGACACGTCAGACTCGCAACCAGGAGCTGGCAGCGGCTCTGGACTCCAGCGCGCTCACGAACGCCCAGCTCACATCCAAACTCGAGACGCTGGTAAGAGTGTCAGTGTGTGTGTGATACATGAAAATATAACGTCCCATGCTGTAGTTCACACGCGTTCAATAACAGAGTGCAACACAATGGAGTTTTTGAAGATGCAGCATTGGTTGCTACTGTTGCTACTTTTAACATGCAACATTGTTTCAGTTTATAGTTTTTAAATTGTTTGTCCATGAACTTTAGCCTAAGTTTAGATGATAACTTTTACATTTATTAATTTAGCAGATGCTTTTGTCCAAAGTGAATTACAAAAGAGGAACTAGGGCTGTCAAAAAAAAATGTAGAATTTAGAATATTCGTTGAATAAAAAAAAAATCCACATTCGAATGCAAAAACGTTGCATTGGAATTTTAGGTCTGCGTCAGCCGTCAGGCAGCTTTATCAGTGGCGCACGAAATGCGACGACAATGTAAGTGTCATTGCATTGTAATGCTTTTGTTAGCCTATCCAGTTGAACCCACTAGATGCGGCGCTGCTACGTTCATTCAATATATTGCGGAAAACGAGAGCATCAGTGTGGCGAAGATGTTGTCTATGGCGAAACTGAAACCAAGCCATTCACACAGAACGTATATTTATCACATTTTCTAGCGGGGCATCTTATCAGCGTTGCACTCGCGTCTCGCAGAGAGCGGCATGTTTAGAAAGCCATGTAATATTAATGAAAGTTCAACTTTTAAAAAAACATGTCTCAAGACGTTATGGCGGTTTTCCCCCATCCCACTGTATCTCATTATTTTAAATGAAGAAAGTAGCCTACTCTTTGTGATTGGTTTTCGGTCCTTTGTATTAAACTATACATACATGCATGGTGCTGTTTTTTTTTTCTAATTGTTTAAGCAACTTTATTAATTATATATGGTTTATAAACATTATTTTAAACATTATGCACTTTTTTTGAAAGATAGTCGTGTTATTTTATTACGCTTTGAAGAAACGTGCATAATATTTTGCTCGATGCGCCCTCTTGTGGCCTCAGGAGAGAAGTCAAAAGCTTTTTTCCCTCTAACTGAAATTATGCCTTTTAAATTCGAATATAATTCTAATTTTGATTATATTTAAGTGGAAAATTCCAATTTAGATTTTCAGTCATTTTGACAGCCCTAAGCAATTCTTTGATTAGAAATTCAAGATTGCATTCTTTGTGAACTGATAGTATTAATAAACACACACATATAATTAACATTTATTCAGACACAATTACATTGCTTTACTCTATTTGAGAGGTCATGCTGTATTGTGAATATACTTCACTTTAAATGGTTAAATAGTTACTATTAATACACAATAAAACTTTTTTACTTTTGTTTAATTATTTTAGTAAGATTTGGATTGGATTACACATGTTAGCATTTGATGTTAGTAGTTAATATTAATAATATTAGTCAATAATTTTTTTTTCCCCTTCTGTGTTGCCTCAGAAGGTTTTAAAGAGCATTTATCAAATCAGATATTTGCACAATGAGATTTAAAGTGAATAAGGTACATTTTGAATTCATATCGTCTTAATTAAGCAATAACCTGTATTAACTGTCAGGTCCCTGTTTAAAGTGCTGGTTTACGGATTTATTTTTTAATAAACACACATGATTTGCTCGTTGTTTTCAGACGAAGCAGTCTCAGGAGCTTTCTGATCAACTACAGAAGGTACAGTAAGCTGCCAGCAGTGTTATTAGGTGGCTCATTTATGGTTTATTAATGAGCGACTTCTCTTATTGTGTGTAATCTCTTCTCATCAGGAGCGGAAAGAGTTTGAGCAGAAGTTCACTAAGGAGCAGGGAGCGATACGTGAACAGCTACAGGTGAACAGATTACACGGGACTGAAGTCATGTTCTGTTCGCTGATAAATAAGCATGCTGGGACCATCAGCGACGCAATATTTGGCCGCATTTATGTTGAACAGGTCTTATATATTATAGAACAAACTGACTGAGCAAATTCACTCACTTCAAACAAATCTGACTTCTCAGGAACTTGTTGATAATATGGAAACCAACAATACTTCAAATGTTGTACCGTAGTCATTTGTTCACTGAAACTGAAATCAGAACAAAAGGATTGACTCAGAACAGACTAGATAAACATAGAGACAGACTCTCATCTCTAGAAATAACGCACTGAAGTGAATAAACCTCTGAATGCAGATGTGTGAAATCTCGATCTCAGTCTGAAGGAGGAAAAATTCAGAATAAGGAATAATTACCATTATATGCATGGTTCACATTGACTAGTTTTAAAGCACATTAGATGTGGCCTGAATTCTATCTATAAAAACAATATTAATCCTAATTTTAATTTTCTGAGATTTGCTTTTAAATCGGATTTTCCAAAAGGTAGTGAACTCAGTTGGTCTTTTAAGGAAAAATGTATTAATAAATGCATTTAATTCGAAAGAAATCAGATGTTTTATCGACAGCAGAACTCATTTACTGTTGAATGTAATTTAGTTTACGTTAACTTGATGTCAGTGCTGTTATGCAAACGTAAGGTTTCATGTGTTTAATGATGCATGTTGTCCACATTCAGGTTCACATTCAGACCATCGGCATCCTGGTGTCTGAGAAATCAGAGCTACAGACGGCTCTGTCTTACACACAGCAGGCAGTGCGACACAAGACAGGTGAGAGTGTGTGAGAGTGTGTGAGAGTGTGTGAGAGTGTGTGTGTGTGTGTGTGTGTGTGTGTGTGTGTGTGAGAGAGAGAGAAATGCCACATGCTCAGAATCATGCAAAATATTATTTGGGTGATTCTCAAAAAACATGTAAACATTATGTGTAGGATGTAGGTCATGTGTAAAATATACAATTTAAACCAAGAAAATTACAACCAAGTACGTCATGATTGTATTTGTTGTATTGTCTTGATTTAAATAAGAAAACGATAACTTTATAATAATAATTTCTTTACCATAATGCAGTAAAAATTATTACATTGTAAGGATGCACGATATTATCAGAACGTTATTGAAATCGGCCAATAATGACTTAAAGGGGTCATAGGATGCTACATGCACTTTTACAAGTTGTTTGAACTGAAATGTGTGTTGGCAGTGTGTACACACAACCACCCTATAATGGTACAAACCACCCAGTGTTTTTTTTTGTTTTTTTTTAAATCTGCTCAAATTTTTACCCCTTTCTCAAATCGAGCCGATCTGAGATGCCTGTCGGTGTGACGTCACACAGACAGGCCCCTCCCACGATAGTTTGATTGACAGTAGCGTTTCAGCACAGACTGGACTGGTGTCTTACCTTAGCTCCGCCCTGAGTGACTGTCATCAGTCCGCCATTGTTTCACCGCCGGAGCAGATGTAGACAAGAATGACTCCTAAGTGATTGAGGTGTTATGTTGTTGGATGTAATAATGAACAGCAGTCGTCATTTACTCCCGACATCTGAGCTGCCCCGATCTACCTAAATGCGTTTGTTCGCGCGAATCAATCGTGATCCAGCTTCACCTGCAGAAGAAGTGAGTATAATATTTTGTAATGAATCTTTGCAAATCGCCTTTCCTAATAATGTGCTAATTAGCAAGTTTCACGATGAATGCGGCTAAAGTAAACAGTCTCTCTGAGAGCAGCTCGGAAGAGAGGGGCGGGGTCAGCAGAGCTCATTAACATTTAAAGGAACATGCTACAAAACGGCTGCAAAACATTTAAAGGAACATGCTACAAAATGTTTTTGACAGGGTAAAAAAGGTGTTTTTACACTACCATTGAGAAATTTTAACCAAGCTATGTTACAGACTTTTCATTAAGACCCCAAAGAATCATATCAACTTCTGGAAAATGGGCATCCTATAACCCCTTTAAAATGTCTGTATCGGCCCAATATGAAAAATTATGCCGATATGCCTTACCGATAAGACGAGTAACTCACATGTGCTCAGGGAGTGCTAGCGATAAGATCACGTCAGCAGTGTGGCTCATTCTTGAAGCGAACCTTTTTCTGAATGATGATTAGATTCACTGTTTTGAGCATTTAATCTGAGAATGCGAGTACAGAATGAGGCATCCGGTGTGCGATAGTCAACAGTCCAAACAAATAACGTTAAGATTGTGTTTCTGATTAAATAAAGCAGTAATTAATGTCATAAAATCACAAGGATGGATTGATTTAAAGGTCAGAAGGTATAAAAATCACAAACAAGACACTTGTAAATTAAATAATTTATATATATATACACACACACACACACAGATTCATTCATTAATGTGTAATATGTTTTGGATTATGAAAACTTAAATACAAGGAGTTCTAAAAGATTTTTCAGAACTCTTTTGATTTAGACCATCTACACATGTTAAATATTCAAATCAAATATTAAGGATTGCTTTATAGTTATTTTCAAAGCTTACAATGTAATCTTATTATAAAAGAACTTCATTGTTTATTTAATTCTCAAAAGTAAGTTTTTGTTAAAAACTAACCAAAATAAAAAAAATAATTTGTTTATAATCTCTGCACAGGAGAGACTTGGTGTTGTTTCCAAACAAAAGGAAATATATTGGTATCGGCCAAAATGAGTTGAAAAATATCGGATATCGTGCATCTCTGTTACATTGATAAAAATCTTATGAGAATCTCATTGGCAGTTATAAGTTTGTTAATTGCATTGCCAATCTGAATTGAAGCTGTAAAAATTATAATAATCTAGTAATATACATATTAATGCCTGTAAATAGGATTTTCCAAAATATAACTGAACTCAGTCGGTCTTTTAAGAACGAAAAACTTTTTAATGAATATATGTAATTGGAGAAAAATAAAACAATTTACATTAGTACAATTGAAATCTCAGTGACAGCTATAATTAGGTTTTTGTCAATTATAAAAAAAAAACTCATTATGCTTAAAAAAAAAAAAGACTTATTTTTCTTCATGCAAAATATAATTTCATTTCTGCATGTGGTAAAGTATGAACCGGATATATCTTTATTTGCTGTGTGTTTGAGCAGGAGAGGCAGAAGACCTGAGCTCGCGGCTGCAGGCCAGTAAACAGCGAGTGTCTGAGCTCGAGAGGACGCTATCTACAGTCTCTACACAACAGAAGCAGTTTGAGAAGGTACCAGATCCTCGGTTTGTCTTCATCATCAGCTGTGTTTGACAGAACGACTCCGTTCAAGCTCAGAAATCCTCGTTTGCTTTTTTTCTGCAGCATAATAAAGAGCTTGAGAAGGAGCGGGACAGTCTACGATTGGAAGTCTTCCGGTTTAGGTAAGACAGTTGTGTTGTTTTTTACTCCTCTAGCAGCAGATGCGATGTGAGTGTGTGCTGCATGAATATGGTCTCTGTGTCTGTCAGTAATGTGAGCGAGGAGTCCAGACAGCAGAGCTCAGAGCTGTCCGAGCAGCTCAAGCTGAGAGTAAACGAGAACAACGGCTTGAAGCAGGAGGTTGATGAGCTCCATAAGCGGCTGGAGATGGCCGACGTCATGCTGCAGCAGGTGAGGAGACGCTTTACACATTTACTGTGCACTCGCTGTAGTTCCTGTGACACGAAATGCCTTTTCAAATCACTCCTGCAGTTCTCCAGTCAGTCGGGTCCTCCGTCTGAAGGGCAGCAGGTTCAGCTCCTCCTGGAAGAGAAACACCAGTTAGAGGCTCACGCGGCTCAGGTGTGTGCTGCTGTAATGTGGGAAATGTTTCTCTGTTAGTCATTGTGAACGTTGTGCTAAGTTTCCCGGTGTTGTGTGTGTGTGTGTCTCTGTGTGTTTGTGTGTGTCTCTGTGTGTGTGTGTGTGTGTGTGTGTGTCTGTCTGTGTGTGTCTCTGTGTGTGTGTGTGTCTCTCTGTGTGTGTGTCTGTCTCTGTGTGTGTGTGTGTCTCTCTGTGTGTGTGTCTGTCTCTGTGTGTGTGTGTGTCTCTCTGTGTGTGTGTCTGTCTCTGTGTGTGTGTGTGTCTCTCTGTGTGTGTGTCTGTCTCTGTGTGTGTGTGTGTCTCTCTGTGTGTGTGTCTGTCTCTGTGTGTGTGTGTGTCTCTCTGTGTGTGTGTCTGTCTCTGTGTGTGTGTGTGTGTCTGTCTGTCTGTCTGTCTGTCTGTCTGTTGGTGTGTGTGTGTGTGTCTGTCTGTGTGTGTCTCTGTCTGTGTGTGTGTGTGTGTGTGTGTGCGCGCAGCTGATGGAGTCGGTGGCTCAGCTGCAGGTGGAGAGAGATCAGTACTCTGGACAGATACAGGAGGAGGGACGCTTGTGGAGGGACAAAACAGAACAGCTTCTGTCTCAGGTAAACACCTATTGCAAAAAAAAATGGTTGTAATTTTTTTTTGTGATTATTAGTGCTATCAATCGATTAAAAAATTAATCGCACATTTTTCTGAAATTAATCGCGATTAATCCCACCTAACATTAAAGTTTTTAAATATTCTTTTATATTGCAATAATTTCACATTCAATCTTCAAATGAATGTACAAACAACATAAAGACGGTATATTTTTAAATATTTGTTTAGTGGCATCTTTTTTTAATTATTTCGCTCTTTGATATGAAAGGATACAGACTACAGTGCGCGCCGGCACCTTTGTGCGTGTAATTGAAGAGCACGCGCTGTGAGCACAGTACCGTTTCCGCGCTCGCTTGACTCGCGCCTGGCGCTGAAGTGAAGTGGAGCGCGCGTCTGAAACGTCTCCCGTTCTCAGTCGTTCTGCGACTGAATAAATGCACTTCTTGTCAAGAGAAAAAGTGACAGAAGCAGCAGTTGTGAGTGGGGTGGCCAACCCTAGCCCCGCCCCTGTGTTAATTGAGTTAAATATTTTTAACGCATTAAACTGAAAAAAATTAATCGCCTGCGTTAACGTGCTAATTTTGACACCACTAGTGATTTATATATTACAGTATGAAAACGGACCAAATGACTCAAATATTTTGGAATGTTTCGGAAAGAATTAATAATTCTAAAATGATTTTGTCGGGGAGTGAATTTGCATAGAAAACTAAATTTTAAAAAGCTGAACTTTTTTTGAGTGCAAACCATCCTTTTAGGGCTGAAATGTTTGGAAAAAATTATTATAATTTTTGAACCAGGATTGTTATAGTTAACTAAATCTAAAACCATAAAAAAAGCTTTTGATGCTTGAAATTAAATAAACTTTAACTGAAATTAAATAAAAACCAACTTATTATATTTTATGTAATTTACTAAAAAAAAAAATGACAGCAAAATTAAAAGGAAAACAGAAAATATAAAAATAAAAACGAATTCAGAATATTAATAAAAAAGTAATAAATAAATAAATATAAAAAAAATGACAGCAAAATTAAAGTGAAAACAGAAAATATAAAATTAAAAACTAATTCAGAATATTAATAAAAACTTTTATAGTATCTCACTGATAAAAAACAACACTGATTTGAACTGTCATATGATTAACATTTAACATCTCATATTGCTGCTGCTTAGACATCCAGACAGAAAAATGGCAAAAATAGTTGCTTTTTTAAAGGCTTTCAAACTTGGGTTCACTCTTTACAACAACCAACTCAAACCTCTTTCAGCAACCATAAAATAAACAAACAGGCCACTGATTTTTACCAATTTAATATGGATTTAAAACAATTAACAACAAAAATAATCATAATTATCTTTTTAATCGTCATCATCATTATTATTATTATTATTAAAATATTAAATAAAATAAGTAGTATTACTTTTGTAATAATAATGTAATCTAAAAAAATTGAGTATAATAATTCAATTTTACAGTGCAATTATGTAGTGTGTTGATCCTGAGAGTGTGTGTGTGTCTGTGTCTCTGTGTGTGTGTGTGTGTGTGTGTGTGTGTGTGTCTCTCTGTGTGTGTGTGTGTAGGTGCGTCTGATGTCAGAGGAGCGTGACAGCACTGCTGCTCAGATTCAGGAGCTGCAGGAGAAAATCACAGAGCTGGAGAACGCTGCAGGTATGAGACAAGACATACACACCCTTCACGTCCCATTCTCAGTGATCATGACACAATAAAGTGCCTTTTCCCCCACCTGCCAAAAAAATAAATGTCCAGAATGAACATTCAGGTCTGAAGTGAGGAAATAACCAAAACATTACTCTACAAAAATACTCCCGTCTCTGCCAGCTTGAGTATGTTTCTGGCCTTTCAGTCTTCAGACAGGAGCATGACAGGTTTGTCTTGTGTCCGCAGCTCTGATGAGTAAAGAGCAGGAGCTGCAGGCCGTGTCACAGGCCTCAGGCCCTTCAGAAAGTGAACTGGCCCTTCAGGAAACCATCAGCAGCCTTCAGGAGGAGAGAGACGCTCTCAGTCTGCAGTACCAAGCACAGGTGACCTACCCTGACCATGTGACGCACGCATTTATACTGAAGTGCATTTTGGTCTTAAAAACTGCACAACTGACTCATGTTTTTCTAAATTTACAAGTGAAGATGTGTTTTATTAGGGTTGAAGCAAAACTCTGCAGGGCTGCGGCTCTCCAGGACCGACGTTTGCCACCCCTGTACTAGATCATGCAGTATGTGCATTCTTACTGCAGTATATTTGAATGACTAAATATTTTTAAACGCATTAGACCAGCCTTTTTGACTCCAAGGCCTCTTCATTCTCCATAACAATATTCGAAGGGCCCCTGGCCCTAGTTTTGTTTTTTAAACTTATTTTAAGTTGGTTTTACAGTTGGTTTACTGGATAAGGATTAAGGTTAAGAAAAATAAATAAATAAAATAAAAATGCACACAGTACAGTTGTTGGGAGTAAATTAACATAATATCTTTAATATCTAAAATAAGATTTTTTTGTTGTTTTGTCTTATTTTAAGTCATCTTAAGCTATTTTATAGCCGAGGCTGTTAATCTGCATCTATTTTTAACCTTAACTTTTAGCCATGCATTTGAAATAAATACTGGAAGTGTAAGCTTTGTTAGAAATGTGTGCGTATGTGTTGAGATGCAGCACGGAGACATTTAAGACCTGTGCAGGTGATATAAGTGTAAAAAAAAAAAAAACAGTTTTAATAAAAATTGAATATCAGGGCTTTAAGGCTTTCAGTAAATCTCAGTATTCATGTGTTTGCTTTGGAATGACTTTATACATTTAAGAAAATACTCTGGTCTAAAAAGTGCCACATTATGTGAACATGACACACAATATTCACAGTGTTGCTTAATTTGATATTGCCAGTGAAACCCTAGCATGTCAGGAGTTATTAGATCAGACACTCATTTGCACGCTCTGTTGTGTCCTGAAGGTGCGAGACAACGAGCAGCTGAGCCGACTGGTGCAGGAACAGGAAGTGAGGCTGGAAGAACTGGAGAGACACGCAGAACGCGCCGCTGAAGAGGCTCAGGATCGACTCCAGATTCTGGAGGATGTCCAGAGCGACAAGGCCACCATCAGCAGAGCCCTGGCCCAGAACCGAGACCTCAAAGACCAGCTGGCCGAGCTGCAGAACGGCTTCGTCAAGCTGGTGAGCTCCAGTGACAGATGACCTACACTACCGCTCAGAAGTTTGGGTTCAGTAAGACTTGTAATGTTTTTAAAGAAGTCTCTTCTGCTCATCAAGGCTGCATTTATTTGATCAAAAATACAGAAAAAAACAATAATCTTGCAAAATGTTATTACAATATAAAATAATGGTTTCTATTTTAATATCCTTTAAAATATAATTTATTTCTGTGATGCAAAGCTGAATTTCCATCATCATTACTCCAGAATAAAGTGTCACATGATCTTCAGAAATCATTCTAATATGCTGATTTATTATCAGAATTATCAACAGTTGTGCTGACAAATATCTTTTTTTGGAAGCTGTGATACTTTTTTCAGGATTCTTTGATGAATAAAAAGTTTAAAAGAACAGCATTTATTCAAAATATAAATCTTTTCTAACAATATAAATCTTCGCTATCACTTCTTAACAATTTAACATCCTCGCTGAATAAAAGTTTTAATTTCTTTAAAAAAAAACAAATATAGTAGTAGTGTATATTGTTAGAAAAGATTTCTATTTTAAATAAATGCTCTTCTTTTTAACTTTTTATTCATCAAAGAATCCTGAAAAAAGTATCACAGGTTCCATAAAAATATTAAGCAGCACAGCTGATAATAAATCAGCATATTAGAATGATTTCTGAAGATCATGTGACACTGAAGACTGGAGTAATGATGCTGAGCTTTGATCACAGGAATAAATTAGATTTTAATGCATATTAAAATAGAAAACCGTTTTTACATCGTAATAATATTTCACAATATTACATTTCTTCCTGTATTTTGGATCAAATAAATGCAGCCTTGATGAGCAGAAGATACTCCTGTAAAAACATTAAAAATCGTTCTGATCCCAAACTTTTGACCGGTAGTGTACGTACACGAGTAAGTGGACACGACCTCTGACCTCTGACCTCTGTCCTCCTCCAGACCAATGAGAACATGGAGCTGACCAGCGCTCTGCAGTCCGAGCAGCACATCAAGAAGGAGATCGCTCGTAAGATTGGTCAGCTGCAGGAAGATCTGCACGGTGCCAAAGAACAGGTTTGTGTCCGCATACAAATCAAAGGAGAAGATGTTGTGTAGAAGCAGGTTTTCATTTTTCATTTACACGCGACAGTGTTTTTAACGGCTTGACTCACACTAAACGCAGCAGACTTCACACGGTTTCCATGTCTGTGGACGGAAGCTTTGCAGAATTTCACTGATATTCCACCAAAATAAAAGCTCAAGGATTTTAAATGTCAAAACCTCAGGTTTGAACATGTGAAAGTGCAAAATTTAAGACATAATTATTCGTTTTGCAACTTGTAGTGTGAAATAAAATTATTATAATTATCTAATATTCAAAGCACAGTTTTAATTTAAAACCGTACTGTATTTCTGTCTTGATTTTTATGAAACATAAGAAGTTAAAACAACAACATTATCAACATAATGATAATATACTAATAATAAATATATATAATTATTAAATTCAGCTACAAAGTCAAAATAAAACACAAACAAATAAAAATTTTTTTTATAAAATATTCACACCATGTGAATGTCTTAAATTATTGATAGGGATGCACAGATATGAAAATTTAGGCCGATACGATAATTCTTTAAATATGAAAGCCGATAACCGATATGTTGGCCGAAAAATTTATATAATTTTTTATAATAAATTGGCCAAATTCTCTTATCGGTTCGATAACGATAACAGAAAAATTTACATTTATCGGCCGATACCGATATGGTGCTATTAACTTTAAATTTCAGGGAGATTTCAAGTAAATATTTTAGCTTAAAGGGATTCAGCTGACAAAAAAGTCTGCGAATTTTCCATTTATTCTTTATTTAAACGGGAAAAAAGCTTGAATTTAGGAATTAGTCAAGTTTTTACATCACATTCATCTCATAAATTATCAGTCAAATCGGCTACAATCAGCCGAATCATTTAAAACTCCCCTGAAATCATTTACTGGTACCAACTTCCAAGGAAAAGGAGCAGCATTCGTTGCACACCTTCATTTGGACTTCAGGGATATTTAATAGTTAAAAGTCCTTCAAACGAAGACCGCCTCAGGGAATCCCTGCATACTGATGGTTGCGCAGCTGTAGTCTCTGCGCTCCTAACCCGACTCTGTCCGCTCTTCCTCTCATCAGCTGCAGGAGAAGTGCGGAGAGCTGGCGTCTGCGCAGGAGCACAGGGATCAGTGTCTGGCTCACCTGCAGCAGTACACGGCTGGATACCAGCAGCTGGTGGCGGAGCGAGAACATCTGCACCATCAAGTTTTTGATAAAAATGTGATTTTTCTCACCTTTTTGCTCAAAATTATGCATTTTTATGAAACCTACCTATATTCAAGTGTTGATAAAAAAAGAATGCTTTAAGCTAGAATAAAACGGATTTTTTGTTTAAAAGTAGAGGCTCTGATCTTTATTTTGGTTTAATGCATATTCATGTTTAAGGACATCAGATTTTAGTGAAAATCATCAAAATCGCTGGCGGTGGCTGGCAACTTTTTTTCAAAAATGCTGGCGAGGAAAGAGTTAAACACATTGGTGGTCGCAAAAATATAGATTTTTTTTTTTTTTAATGCAATTTTTTTTCCCAGCTGCGGCCTCTTGCTCTCTCTTCCCTCTGATTTCAAGTTGACGGAGTGTGCATTTGAATTAAAGTCTGTTGTTTTGCTGTTAAGTTGTTTTTGCACACAATCAGCTCATGATCCTGTGTTTTCAGCATCTCTGAACACAGTAAACGAGGTGAATTTAATGTGCATTCGGGAACGCAGCGTGCACCGGTTTTTCACATTTGCAAAATAAAAGCTCAAGTGTTTAACTTTTGCAAGTGAATAAATTAAGTCATTTTTAATTATTAAATCCAGTTACAAAAGTCAAAATAATTAATTATTAATTAATAATTTTGTAAAAAAAAAAAACTTGCATGTCATGTGACCATTAACCAACATCAGAGAACCGCAAACATGTTGAATTATTGTTATTATTATAATTACTACTAAAAATCTCAGGGGGACTTCAAGAAAATATTTTGTTCTTTGCTGAATCTGTATTTTAGTATCAATTCACGTTTACTTGCATAATGCTTTTCACGATACAAATAGTTTCAAATCATTGAGATAATATTAGTTTTATTAATATTTTGAATCAAGGGTTTAACTCTTGCAAATGAAGACATTTAAATTACAAGTAATTAAATCCTGCTACAAAAGTACAAATAATAATTATTTACTATTGTAAAATAACATAATTTAATAATTATTAGTCTATAATAGTCCATAATTGAATAATTATAGTAAAATAATATACTTTTTATTGTACGGTGCAATTATATTACAACAATAATATATTTCTACTTTAAAATTATTATTTATTTATTTATTACATAAACACCTTTTTTTGCTTTTGTTAATTGTATAATAAATAAAAAGAAAACAAATAGATAGAATACAAAAATATTAGAGAAGCTAGTGTTTTTTTGTTTTTTAAAGAAAACAATCAGTTAGTAAATAGAGTTTAAAGAATATAATTAGAATAGAGAGTGCTAGAATTAGAGGGTCAAATAAAGATGGAAGAGATGTAAATGTAAATATATTACATTTATTACAATATATATACATATTATGCATATATTATGATTTTAAAAATTATATTTGCTGTGTTGCTTTACAGTGACAGGGCTCAGAAACCTAATTTGACAGATGGAAATTGGGATTAATTAGGACTAAATTACAGATACCTGAAGCAGCTGCATCTTGCCGTTTAAGTGCTGGCTGGAGTGTTTTACTGAGACCAGCAAATCTGCGCTTCTAATAGAAATGATTTTAATGAAAACTCAGTGATGTATACAAGGCATGTTAATAAAAACATTCGCCCACTCCTAGCACTGCTCCCGGTCAAAAGTAAATGAACTTAGATACTCTTCAGATTTTATGCTCTTAATATTGTGGTAAATCAATGATTTTCAAAGTCTTGTATTTAAGTCAGAATTCCAGTTTTGTGTCAACGCTTAAACAGACACCTGTGAATGAGCTCTGTGGTGATTGGATAACAGTGTCAGTGGCTCCACTAAGTTGTTGAGGTGTGAATATGAGAAAGTCACGCTCTCAGTGCTGCATTACTGCCTCCTGCAGGAGAAACTGAACCAGCTGTCCAGAGACAACGAGGAGCTGAAGACGGAGGTGCAGGAGCTGCTAAACAACTCGTCCCTGAACACGTCACACAGAGACGACGGTGAGTCCCGCTTCACGCGTGTGAGAGAAACATGTTTTAGCACACCGACTCTACTGACGATTACCCTGCTGATGTTTTAAGGTGATGGACTGGAGAGTCATTCTCTCCCAGAGAGCTTCCAGAAGTCACACATCGTCATCCCAGAAGACTTCGAGAGCAGAGAAGAGATGGTGAGTCCATTCAAATATACAAAATGTGTGTGGATATGGAGATTTACAGTCAAAATTGAGTTTTAAAAATAATGCATTTATTTTTAGTGCATTTTTCTAATAATCAGCATTGACAAAACAAGCGGGCAATTTGTCTAGTAAATAATTTAAAAACTGTAATATGTAAATAACATTCTGTATATAAAAAAATACAAATAAGTTAATTTTTTTTAATAAAAAAAATAATTATAATAAAAAAATAATTTATTAATCTTTTTTTTTAATATATATAAAAATTGATATCACCTCTGAAATGACTTTACATTAAGAAAATAATTATTAAATGATTAATTAAACTAATTGGTAATAATAACAATTAATGCTATTAATAGCAATATTATTTTAATACATTCGTATTTAAAATTAATATTTTAATTAATTAGCTCACTTTTCATGATCCAATCACATCCAGAAGGATGAACTCAAGCTCCGTCTGAAATGTTTTCTTCGTTAAACATGAAGTTTCTCTCTGAAGTGAGTTGTGTCCTGTTCTCTGACGGTTGTAGGAGGAGTTTATTCACTCTGTCCTGTCGCGTCTGGAGGAGGAGCGAGATGAGATGAGCCGCCGCTTCGAGGAGGAGAGGAGACTTCATCACGAGCATCATCATCATCCTCATCCTCACAGCACAGGTGCAGCTTCATCCTGACTCGCACTGCACTCAAATCACACAGACTTCTACTACATACTATTAGAGCTTTATTCATGTTTTGAATTAGCTTTTATACTTTCAGTTTTCATTTTAAATTTAGTTGAGTGATTTTATGTGCTTTTTTCATTTTTATTAGTTTTTGTTTATTTAAATATTACTATTTAGGTTTAATTTTATTTCAGTTTTAGTTTTAGTGCAGTTTTATTTTTTACTTAGTATTTCCAGTTAGTAATTTTAGTGCTTAAACTAAATGAAAATTAGAAATGTTGCCTTGGAAACTTTTTCATCTTATATTTATATTTTATTTTATTTCAGCTTCATTTCATTAAAGAAAAATGTTTTAATAATTTTAGTTTTTATTAACGATAATAACCCTGCCCTGCACGTGACATATAGAGGGGGAAAAAAAACATTGTGGCCAAAAATGAAGTATTTATTTCCACAACTTATTGATTGGTGGCCATGTTGTTCTAATTTGTTCACTTGTTTTAATTTTTTTTTTTTTTTTTTAATTAATAAAAAGGTGAATCATGGCCATTTTTATTAATTCACTGTCAAGTTAATATGTCATGGAAACATCTTTGATATTTTGTTTTTTAATCATGTGCAGGGCTCTGTACATTTAAGACCTGAAGTCTGAAAATAACCTTTATTTTTATTATGCGTTTTCCTTCAACAAATGCAAATCTAGTTATTCTCACGGATATGTTCGGCTCGTATAACTGATCGTGTGTGTGTGTGTGT